TAGATAGTTGTTTGAAAAAGACAAATCAAAGAACATTTAGGTTGAGTCAAAAGTGACTTGTGAAAGAATACTTATATTTTTGTAAAAGATAGTGAAACTTGATTAGCTTGATCAAGATCTAGACGTAGTTTTGGTTGTTGAAATGAATTAATATAAAAATAATGTGTGTTCTTTTCTCTTAACTCTTCGTTTACACTCATAAGGTCTTTGATACTACTTCATTATTATTTTGAAAAAGCGATGAGTTTTGTATTGACACTATTTAGATCCTCATTCCAGTGTCTTTCTTTTCTTCACAATTTGGTATCAGAACTTAACATTTGACAAGGTTAAGCATCTAACCATGATAAAAAGATCCCAAGATTAGAAGTAACGAAGGTTAGTATCTGTAACATTGTTTAAAAAAAAAAAGGTTGATTCAGTAGTCCAGAACGGGTCGTTCCAGAGGGAGAACGGGTCGTTCCAAAGGGAGAACGGGCCGTTCCGGATGAGTCCCGGAACGGGCCGTTCTGATTTCAGAACAGGTCATTCTGGGCGTGTATTTTTGGCTTGTTTTGGGGGTTCAGAACGGGCCGTTCCGGTATCGGAATAGGCCGTTCTGGCCACTCTGGATTGCCTATAAATAGGGGTGGGGGGGCGTGAGGAGTTCTGATTCTAGAGAGAAGTTTTAGAGAGAAGGTCTTTGGGTCAGTGAGCTCCTTTCTCTCCTAAATTTCTCTGTTTAACTCCTTTTCTCCTCTAGATCAATAACTCCTTCTGTCTTTTCTTGAAATTCAGATTAGAAAGCTTGTTTTGGGAGGACTGAAGTTCCGAGTTAAGCCTCGAGGGGAAATTCTACTTTTGTTCAGTCTTTGGCTATCTGAGCCAATCTTCAGGTAAGGGAAGCTAGAATGTTGTTATTTAGGATGTATGTGAGTTTACAAACTCAATGGGATTAAGCCGGGCGCAGGTTGAGTATGCCAGGTGTGGAAGAGCTTAGAGCTCTTAGGTAGGTGTTAGGCTAGGCGCGAGCTGACTGCGCCAAGCGTAATTATATTTATAAATAATTGTTTTAAATTGATGCTTATGCATGTTTAACGTTGAAATAGTAGATCATATATGTATGATATATGATGTATGGTGAGGTGTGATTCGTATGTATGCTTATGATGATACGTATGAATGCTTGAATATGAGTATGTTTATTGATCATAATGGTAGGTAGACCATTTATGATGTATAATGCATTATTACATGTGATGTCTTATGACATGTGTATGATTGTTGATCATGATGGTGGGCAGACCATTATGATGTATGATGCATGATTGCATGTGATGCCTATGGCATGAGTCTAGCCTAGGACTTGAGGAGAGGAAAAATATTTTCGAACTGGAAGAGCTCACATAGAGTCTCTTGAGAGTGGTGCTTGGATAGGCCACTGATATATGAGAGTGGTGCTCTGGGAGGCCACTGGATTTGGGAGAGTGGTGCTCAGATAGGCCACTGGGTTGGGTGAGTCTCCTCTAAGTCCTTAGCTAGTGTTGGAGCGGGGTATGAGGTCGAGGGTTATTCCCTTAACCAAGTACTCGGGAAGGTGCGTGGATCCTTGCGGATAGTCGGTGGGCGAACTCCACAATTGACTTGGTTAATGCATGCCAAGGTCGTGGTAAGCCCGTACCCAGCTGTGCTATACCTGACGGTGGATCTGGACTTTCAAGTGTATAAGTGACATCATCCGAGTAAACCCGAGTGAGGATTATATCCTGTTTAGCTGTGACCGAGCGGGCGCATTGGGCATGAAAACGGTTGGGGTGGTTTCGGTAGGATGGAATGTCACTTATACAACTCTGTTGTTATGGAGATCTCCTAGGTGTATGCGTGACGACGCATTAGATGATTGAGATGCATTTATTGCATGATTAGTAATATGATGAAGTGTGGTGTTTGACTTCATGTTTGATGAATGAATGATTGATTGAGATGAAAGGTTCCTTAGGGACAAGATTTGGGATGTATGTGTAGTATAGATTTTTATTCTATACTTGTAATCTTGATTTTTTTTTAATTCTAGCTTACCCTTTTGTTTCCATGTGGTGGAACTGCAATGATCATACTTGGTATGGGAGCAGGTCAGGAATAGCTTGCAGTAGAGGTGATCGTTGCGAGACAAGGAGCTGAGTCTCGTGTTTTGAGTTACCATTCTGGGTAACAATTTTTTTTTGTTAGTGCTTGACCGGCACTAAGGAATATTTTGGGATGACTGTACATATATGGTGCTATATTGTATATACAGAAACTTAATTATTTTGATCTTTATATTTATGTCTGTATGTATGTGTTATTTAGTTTAATATTCTCTTAGTTAATTAGTTGTATTGCGATTCCACTAAGTATAGAGACCGTGACGGGTCGTTACAGTATCTGCTTGAAGGAGCTTCTTTTACAAGGCCACCAATCTTTAATGGAGAAGACAACCCATATTGGAAGAACAAGATGGAAATATTCATTAAGTTCATCCAATACTATCTCTAGAAGATCATCACAATTGGTGATGTTCTTGTAACCAAGCCAGAAAGTGATGGAAATGGTAAGGAGGAGTGATGAATGTTCTTCTTCGCTCTTTCAACTTCTTGCGCACGCTGTTTCTCTCGTTTCTGCTTATCCTCCATCTTCATTTTCTCCGTTTTCGCCGTCGTTTCCGGTAACCCAGTCATTATTAGGGTTATTTTCTGAGGAAGAGTACCAGGTACTTCCTTTCTACAGTTTTCTTTTTCCTTCTTTCCCAATCTTCTTCGAGTCTTTCTTGTTTTCTCCATGGCTGGAGGGAGTGGTGCTGGTTCCTCCGCACCTGCCAAGGGTAAAGGCAAGGCGCGGGGCAAGGCGACGGCTACCGTTGCACCCCAACAATTGCGGTTTTTTGAGGGCTTTTCAAGTCCTGTGTTCGGCCCTAGGAATAGAGGTGTCTCTTCCTGTCTTTCTTCATTTCTACCAATTGAAAATAGGCGTTCCGCCTTATGGCGTGCTGTCCCTGAGTGGGAGTAGGGATGGGGGTTTGTTTACTCTCTACTCCCAGTCATTCAAAAATTATAAACAAGAGTTCTTCCGGGGCGCCCTTGTGGATGTCGATCCCTTGGAGGATGGGGCGTTCTATTTCGGTGGTTTTTCGAAGTTCCCTTTCTATTGGTGCCCCAAACTGTCTAGGTTTCACGGGGTAGGCCAAGTGAAATTGACGGCTTCGGAGGCGGCCGCCATCGAGAATCTTACTGCGCTTCCTCGCCCGCTGGATTGCAAGCTCGTCCTGTCGCTTGCGAATTCGGCGTACAAGGAGAGGGGCCTGGAGAGTGAGTATCTCGTCCTCTTTAGA